TTCCTAACCATGGCCCACAAAGTCCCACATGGCCTGACCCCTGCCAACCTCTCTAACCCCACACACCCAGCTTGGTCCCTCCCTCAGCTGGCTTCTGCACTTACTGTTCCCGCCAGCTGGACCTCCCTCAGGTATCTGTAGATTCTAGAAAGACTTCCATCCCCTTTGGTTCTTTTCAGAGCACGTTGTTTTTCCTTCATATGTGAAATGCATCCATCATCATGGTTCATCATTTAACACCTTCAACCAACTCTCAGAACACCCTAGGAATACAACTATAGGGAAAACGCTGTTAAGTAGCATCAAGTTGGTTCCGACCCATAGCAACCCTGTATAGGGTTTCTGAGGAGTGACTCATGAGCTTGAACCAATGACCTTGTGGGTCAAACCGACTTTGCAGTCTAGCACATTAACCCACAATGCCACACCAGGGCTCCAAAGGGAAAATAGGTGGGTGGTAGAACACTGACAGAGAAGAATGCTGCCAGGACACTGAAGGTTTATAAAGGTCATGAAGTGATACAGAAACATACTTCAGCTCTAATACTAGCTGGTCAGAGGAGACAGAGGTTACCAAGTGGACAAATAAAAGGCTTCAGGTAACGTGTGAAAAATGCTGAAATGGAACCAAAAAAAAAAAAAGGGGGGGGGGATGTAAAAGGAAACCAAAACAATGGTGACTGTAATTTTGTTACAGTCATACAATCATGGTTGGCTCCTTTTTTCTCTATTTTCCCAACTTTCCATATAATCTCATTTTGGAAATAAATGCACTACTAAAAATGGAGTTATTGAAATACAGTTTATGAAGCATTCTCAATAGTGAAAATGTCCACAAAGGATCAGGAACTTGCAACTGCACAGACTGCATGAGAGACTAGCAAATCAGCCACAGGCTTAGAGTCTGGGGGTTGGGAGTAGAGATGCTTCCGGTCCCTGATGCAATCAGTCTGTAGTCGTCCTCTGAAAGATGTGGCCTAGGTCACTTCCCTCTCTGACTGCTAAATGTAAGGTCAATGGTTCAAACCACCAGTCACTCCTCAGAACCCTATGCAGGGTGCTTGGAACCCTATACAGGGTGACTTGATGGCACTTAACAGCAACATACACATATAAGGGGGCTCCAAAAAGCACATGGAAAAATTCCATTATTTTAATTCCATTTGTCCACAAACTTTGTGAAGTCTCCTCATAGATGCCCACATATAGACATGTTTGCCAGTGCATCTACAGTGAAACCTGTGAGAGCCAGAGAATGCAGCAGGACTGCCTTGTTTTCCATGTCTTACAAGTTTTCCACTTGACATGGTACAGTCTTACTATTCAATCACTCACTTAAGCAGAAAATATTTACGTTCTTCTGCTCTGACAGGTGTCTCTCTGTCCTACCTAGGTTCTGGCTTTTGCAGGTCTTACTGTATCTTTGGTTGTTTTTGCTGCTGTTTCAAAATTATACATGCCATAACAACTACCAACAGTTCCTTTTTCTTGTTTACTTTTTAGTGACATTGTTTACCTTCATCAAGCGGTACACACTTCACCCTCATTCAGTGCTACCTTTCCCATCACCAAAAATAATAAGAGCTTACTGCGCCAGGCTACAAAGCCATTTGAAGTGCAAGGTCAGTGGTTCAAGGTCACCCACTGTTCCCCGGAAACCCTATACAGGGTCACTATGGGTCGGAACCGACTCAATAGCACTAACAAGAACTAACTTAGAGCATGAACCCTGCTTCATCTCCAATCTCTGGAAACCACTAATGAACATTTGTTCTTAAAAGTAAGAACATAATAACAATTTGTGTGTATATGTGACTGACTTTTTTCACTCAACATAATGCCCTCCAGGTTGATCTATGTTCCGAGATATTTTGGGAACTCATTTTTCTTTATTATCCAGCAGAGTTTTTGATCTTCTTGTTTTATTTATTTATCTCAGATACTCAACAATGAACTCCTTGGATGAGGATGATATTTTGCTTCCAGGCTTAGGCTGCAGACAGCTTGTCTGCATGCCAACTCTTACAACCTTCAGAGGAGAGTCTTCAAACTATAGCAATAGATGACTAAACTAGGACCAGCCTACTAAAAATAAAGAGAGCACTTTTGAGACTTGATTGACAGAATATTTCCCTACGAAGTTAAGGGAAATCACAGTCACCAAACACCTCTGAGAAGACACTCAGGATGAGCAGTCACACATTTGCAAGAAAAACTACACATCAGACACAAAACAAGTTATAAAGTACTTAACACTTCTCTGATGCATCAGAGATGAGGATGTTTTCTCCTTTCCTCCTCTGAAGCTATGTTAGTAAATTAAAATCTGCCAGAGTCCATCCTTTCCTCTCAGCAAAGAAAATATAATAATACTTTAGTTTATTTCAGAAAACAAGTGCAGCTACAGAATCTCAGAGGAAACAGCACAGAAACACATCCAAAGGGACAAAAGGATTCATTGGAAGCCAGCTGTTTTTAATAGCCAGCTTCCTTTTCCTTGCTCACATATTAAAGACAACTTCAACAGGAGAATGAAAATGTTTCTCCTTCAAAGTAGTTACAGCTGATCTTCCCACATAGGGCCTTAACCAGGGATACAAAAAAGTTAAAGTCAAAGCTCAGCCTCTGATATGATGCCAAAAGACCCATCAGCCATCCAGGTGCATAAGGCACTAAGCCCAAAATACCTGACATAGCATGTCAGTATTTCTGGAGGCAGATTTTCAAAAAATTAATATGTGAAGATACTACAACTAACAGAGAATGTAAGTCAGGCTTCTGGGCACCATACACACTCTCCAACTCATAGTGGCTATCGCACCTTAAATTTACTTGACAGGGCTTTTCTAGCCAATGTCTACTTAAAATAAGGTATACAGGACTCTAGGAGTTCTGGTGTGGCACTGTGGGTTAATGCGTCAGACTGCAAAGCCGGTTGAACTGCAAGGTCGGCGATTCAAGCTCATCAGCTGCTCCTTGGAAACCCCAATACAGGGTCGCTATGGGTCAGAACTGACTCGACGGCACTTAACAACAACAATAGGACTCTAAGGCTGGGATTGGTTAGTTTTGCCTTCCAGCTAGATTTAAAAGGAGCCCTCTTAACAACAACAATCTCAGAAGCAAGAACTGAAGATCCCAGGACCATCAAGAAGAGGATGAAGGTATCACGAGATACAAGCCTTCTAGAAAAACTGAGATGGCAGACGCCACAGAGAGAGCAGCTGTGGGCTCTAGGCCCATAGACTGAGGCAAGGCCAAGGGGCCACATGGCTGAGAAGTCAAAGACAAGAGTGAGGTTATGTCTGCAGTTTGGCAGACAAGCTGGGTAAGGTTCCTAACTGGAGAACTGCTGCATTCTAAGTTGTTTCTGATCCTGAATTATACCCTGTTCACTTCCTTAATAAACCCCATAATCATGAATACTATTATAAGTTCTGTGTGACCATTGCAATGGATTATCGAACCCAGATGTAAACCAGAGCATACTATGGGATGGATGGTTAGAATCAGACAGAATAAAGAAGGTTGTAGGGTAGAGATATGTCTGGCTCCATTTCAAAGGAATCAGTCATGGGCTAATTTTGAGTTTGATTCTCTTTCCCCCTTGTGAAGCCAGGGGAAGGTAGACATGGTCCCCACGTGGCTTTTGTAGCAAATCTTTCCAAGGCTGCAAATCTTTGCAGTAGACAGTCTCATGTTTTTCCCACAGAGCCCAGGTGTGTTTGAACACCTTATCTGCCCAAACCAAATAAACAGTCAAAACACACAAACACACCACACACACACAACAACATGGTTTTCTGTAATGTGGTCAGACCCTGTGAAGCCTCAATACTGACCAGGCCTTGAAACATGGAAAGAAAAGGAGCGGCAAAGGTGTGTTGTGGAAGGTAAAAGGGGGCTCCCTTCCTCTACATCTCAGTACTTTGCTGTGAGGTAGAGAGCCTCAGTCACGTCTAGAAAGTTTCCTCCCTGCACTCAACACCATGGCCCGGGTGTGGCAGTCATCCAAATGAATAAACTAGGTTTCCATATCGCTGCTGCCCAGTCAGGGACCTAGTTAGGACTCCCCAAGCTAACTGGGTGAGTAGGTGGGGTAGGGAAAGAGACCCTAGTCCCATCAGTGCCTCAGACTCCCCAGATCACACACCACAAAGGAGTGGAGAATTCCTGAGTTTCCAGATAGCCAGAAGGTGTGTGCTGATAAAGGGACTGCAATCTGAGGTGAATCATCAACCATGTCTTCACCTGTCATTTCTCATCTGTAAAGCGATCGTGAAGACCTTTCCCAAAAATGCTGGACAGATCAGATTCACCCACATGATCCCCCTTCCACACCCTTCAGGGCCAGAGGTGGTGCGCCCCTACACCCGGTCTCCAGATTAGAGTTTTGCACCTCCTCCCTGAACTTCTGTCAAAATAGGTAAGAAAGACCCAACCGGGCCCAGCATTCTGGCACCTTCCTCTCTCTACAGGATAAGTCGGGAAGCTGCTTTCCTGGGTCAGGCCTTCCCCTGCCCTACAATTTAAGTATATATATAGAATATTTATGTGTATATATATACATATATATATATAAACATATACAAAAAATAAAAAATAGTAAAAAACATGGTCCCTCCGGGCAGCTGCCCTTCCTTCCCACCACAGCGACGCTGAGGCCCCGGCGGCGCCAGCGCAGGGACTGCGGCCGGCGCGCACATGGCAGACCACGCGCACCCAGCTGCTCGGCCGTAGCCGCCTGCTCTCTCCACCCCAATCCCCTAGCTCAGCGAGCGCGCACCTGCTGTACGCGGGCCCTCGGAGGGTGCGCGCTCGCCCGCGTCCCCTACGCTAGCGTCGGGCGGAGGAGGCGCGCCCGCAGGTCAGGCCCCGCGGCTCTGACCGCGCCGGCGCACCTGCAGTTTGCAGGCCGGCTAGGGAAACGGCGGCCCGGGCCCGAGGCCAAGCATGCCCGCCTGGGCCCCTCTGCCTTTCCGTCCGGCGCGGCGCCTCACCAGCGGTAGCAGCCTTCTGAGGCCTCCAGCGTGAAGTTGACGCGCGTGGCACGCGTGAAGGGAAGCAGCACTTTCGGGATGTTGAGCTTGGACGCTGCGGCGGCGGGGCCCAGCGCCGAGAGAGCGAGCAGGAGTAGCAGCGGCCCCTGGCCCCGCGCCGCCATCGTCGCCTGCCTTCCCTCACCTCCCGCGACCCGGCGCCTTGCCGCCCGCGCGCTCCCCCTCGCGCGCGCCGGGGCAGCAGGTGATAAGCGCGGGAGGGAGGCGGGGGCGGGGCGAGGGCTGGGGCCTCCACCACTTCCTGGGCCCCGGCGGGTCACCGCGGGAACTGAGGAGCCTTGTTCGCGGGGGCCCCACCCCCGGCCCGTGCCCTCGGGGCCCCACGCAGCGGAAGGAACTGGGGCGTAGGCCTGGGGCTACGGGGTTAGGATGGGAAAGGGGTTGAAGCGCGAACCCTTTGGGAAGATGCTGAGCGATCGAGCGCGCGCCCGCCAGCGTTCCTGCCCCCTCACCCACGCGGAAAGCTCTGGTTAGCGTTCCCGCCTGCCGCTTGTCGGATAGATTTCAAACTTTTCGCCTGTTTTGGACGCCGACGTGGGGCCCTCCACCGTCCTGCAATCATTTTTTGGCGCCAGTGGGCTTGAGCCAGGCGTGGGCGGGGCGTAGAGTCGCAACTCTAGGGAGGCCACCCAGACCCGTCTCCTTGTGCTGTGTCCTGGGGCCCGACCTTAAACATGTGCACACACCTCTAGAAAACTGGCATGCAGAATGCCGTGCACGCCTCGTCCTAGTTCCTGCGTCCCGCAAGATGGAACTCGATCTCCGCAAGGAGAAAGGACTCGTTAAAGCATGGCCTCTCCTTTAAACCACACAACCTTGGTGGGAGTGGGGTCACGGAGGGACAGGACAGGACAAAGATACAATTATGAAGGGCTGCGCTGGGGTTCTTCGAGCCCAAAGCCCTGTCCTCTGCGTTGCACCCACTGTTAAGGAATCCTGGTGAAGCGCTGTAGGATAAGCAAAGTCGGTTTGAATCACAAGGATGGCGGTTCAAACTCACCAACTATTTCTCGTAAGCCCTACACAGAGTCTCTATGAGTCGGAACCAACTTAATTGCACCTAACAACAATGGCCAGAGCACACCTTCCCCTTCAAGAAATAGAGCAAATAATTCTTACATTCAGTCGACAATTTGCCATATTGGCCGTATCAGTGTCAGTATCTTGCTTGGGCATTATTTTTGTGGCAAATCGTATGAAGGGGTAGGGTCATCGGACACCACATATTTCTCAGAGCTTCTAAAATCTAATCTGACCTTGCAGGGAGGGCCCATTTATGTAGGTGCCAGAAAAGGGGCAGGGTGAGGGACAAATCCCAACTTGAGTAAGGGGTCCAAGAAGTGAGAGCAGGAAGGTACAAGTTGATGCCACTCCATGACAAGGAAAGATTCCCTAATTTCAATCCACTGGTCAAGGCATCTAGAGGAGGTGGCCCTGGGGTTGGTTTGGCACAGACAGGGAAGTCCAGATGAGTGTGAGCCTGCCCCTCTGAGGCCACTGGATTCTGGAATGGTGATGAAGGGTATTTGGGGATCACCCTTAAAGCTTGAAGGTCACAGAACAGCGGAGGTGTGTTGGGGGAACCTATGCTGTGGATCAATGGAAATGCTGAAGAAATAGAGAAATGTATGGTAAAGCATCCAGAGGGATCTCAGTGAGGAAGTCTGCCTGTATTCGTTTAAACAGTTTTATTGATTTTGGTTTTGAGTCGGCAATGCAGTCAGATGGCTTAAACTCCTAAAGCACAAAAAGACAGTTAAAGTGACTGCCCCTCACCAATCTAGTCATTCAACCAGTGTTTTACATTTGAATGTACTTTCAGAGAAGTTTTATTCATATGTAAGCAAATATACACATACCTCTTTTAAGAATCAAGATTGTTTTATAATAAGCTCATCAAGGACAAATAGTCAGGAGAGGAGATCCTTGCACACTGAACCCCTCAACCAGAGACAGAAAACTGTGATACAGGCATTGGAGCAACACCAGAACCAAGAGTCAGAGCACCAGACAACAAGAAATCTGAGTACTTAAGGGCAGGAAGCTTACTTGTAGGGATTTAGGTTTGCTGATACACAGAGCTCTTCAGCTAGAGGCTTATTAGCATAATGGAGTGTGCCCTTTGGGCATTTATCAGCAGTGCTAAAAGAGCTTTGTAAGCTTGTCTGAGCAGAACAGAGGCCTGCCTGGGAAGAGACTGTCCTGGCTGAAAGAACTAACTATGCCCTGAGCATTTCTGGTCATGCATTGTAATCTGTTGTTGTTGTTAAGTGCCATAGAGTAGGTTCCAATCCATAGCGATCCTGTATAGGGTTTCCAAGGAGCCGCTGGTAAACTTGAACCGCCAACCTTGCAGTTCAAATGGCTTTGCAATCTGGCGCATTAACCTACAGCGCCACACCAGGACTCCATTGTAACCTGTTACATCCCCTAATAAACTCCCTAACTGTGAGTATGGTGTCTTGAGTTTTGTGTGGCCAGTGCCGTGAAGATTGGACCCAGCTGGGTAGAGTACTGTGGGAGGGATAGTTGATGTTAGAACTGGTAGAGAAGATTGGAAGGTGCAGGCATGTCTGAACTCAGTCACATAAGAATCAGCCTTAGGCTGATGGTGATTCTCCTCCTTCACCCTTGTGCAGTTAGAGGAGGTTAGATGCCACCCCCAAACCAGTCCCTTTGCCCCTCTTCACAGCTGGAAGAATAATTTCTTTTAGAAGGATCCCTAGGAGGTGGAGATTAAAGATATTCCAAATGTCCAATTTTTCTAAAGTGCTGTATTTTTAAATTGTTAAGTGCCACCAAGTTAGTTGACACACAGCGACCCTGTATTAGTTCAAAATCCAGTGCTGATCCTACAGCACCACACCAGAAGTCCTATATCACTCCAGTATCCCTGTTACTAGCCACTACTATACCCCTCAGTATTCCAAATCCGCAATTCAGATGTCAATCTGGAGAATTCTCACACTAAATCAGGCTGTGGACTCATGAGGCTGTGAAAGCTGATGAATCAGGTCAGACAGCAGGCTCCAGTCCCAGAACCGGCGTGAGCTCTAGGTGAGCTTGATGAGACAACCAAAGGAGTACATCACCCACTCACATCACCACGATGACTCATTTTATACCCAGCAAGATGGCACAACTGTAAACGTCCTGGCTGTGGTATCTGACCTCCTATAACTTTACAAGGCAGGGGGAGGATGATCAAACTGCACATCAGCCCAAAGCTAACTCCTTTGAGGCCGTGGCCGAGGCCAGCAACGCCTCCATCCTCCAGCTGCCTTTGCCTTATTCTAACACCAACCGTCCCTCCCACTGCATGCTCTACTCAGCTGCGTTTGATCATTTACTACAGTGATCGCACAGAACTCAGACACCATAAACACAGTTAATGGGAAATTGTTGTTGTTGTGTGCCTTCGAGTTTGTTACAACTCATAGCAACCCCATATAGGGTTTCCAAGAGAGGCTGGTGGGTTTGAACTGCTAACCTTGCAATTAGCACAGTTAGCAATCTAGTGCTTATCCTACAGCACCACACCAGGGATCTTTAGGGAAATTGTTGTTAAAGTGCCATCAAGTCAGTTCCAACTCAGTGATCCTATATAGGGTTTCCAAGGAATGTCTAGTAGTGTTGAACAATTGTCCTTGCAGTTCAAACTGATCTTTCAGTCCAGTGCACTATCCTGCAGGTTGCGATTCAGGATTAGAAATGCTCTTTCAGTCAAGATAGCCTCTTCCCAGACATGCTCACCAAAAGCCTCTCTGGTCCTTGTTCCCTCAGCCACGGGCCCCTTGACCTCTGCCCTGCTTAGACAGTGTTACAAAGCTTTTTTAGTACTGCTGATGCAAGCTTAAAGGACACTCCTCTGTACTATAAGTATTAGCCCAAAGACAGTAGACTCTAGCTCTGTGGGTCAGCAAACCTAGTTCCCCAATGAATTAATGACCTTTACTTGCTCCATGGGTCAGGAAGCCCACGGCTCTGCCTGCTACTCTGCCTCCTCTGCTGCTTCTCTGGTATCACAGCTTTTTGTCCTTGGATTAAGGAAGTTCAATGTACAGGAATCTTGGGGTCCAACGCATGCACTCCATTCCTGGCTCTTCTTCCTTGATGGGCTTAAATCAAATTCTCAGAGCTTACTAATGACAGAGAGGCCTGAGGTATGCAAACAGTTAATGTCCTCTGGTACTAACTGAAAGGTTGTTGTTGTTGTTGTTAAGTGCCGTCGAGTCGGTTCCGACCCATAGCGACCCTGTACAGGGTTTCCGAGGGTGTAAATCTTTACGGGAGTAGAAAGCCTCATCTTTCTCCCGCGGAGCAGCTGGTAGTTTCGAACCGCTGACCTTAAGGTTCGCAGCACGATTCGTAACCACTGTGCTACCAGAGCTGAAAGGTAGACTCTTCCAATCTACCCAGAGGTACCTCTGAAAAAAGGCCTGGTGATTTACTTTTGAAACACCAGCCACTGAAAACCGTATGGAACACAGTTCTATTCTGACATATGTGGAGTCCCTGGTGTCAGAGCTGATTCTGTAGCAACTATTGATGTGGTTCTGGTGGATTTACCACAGAGCACTGGCCACCAACAAACCAGACTGAAGTGTTCTGCTCGCCTATAGGCTATACCAGACAAACAAGGAATCTAGGCCAGGCCATCAAAGGGACCAGGTGGGATATTGAACTGGCCCATTAGAATTATGAGTCACTGTGGCCCCATCTTGCCAGATCTTCTGATGATTGAGGGCAAATCATTAGCATGGCTTTTTAAGTGAAACATCCTGATTGTAAATGATTCAATTAACTCGAATTCATTAAAAATAAGCATACATACTCTTGGACACTTAACCCAAAAAAATGAAATTTTATGTTTGCACTAAACACCCATACGTGAATGTTTTGAGCAGCTTTATTTATAACAGCTCTGAACTGGAAAGAACTCAGATGTCCCTTACTAGGGTAAATGATTCAGCAAACTGTGGTACATGTCTACCTTGGAATGTTATTGTCGTTAAATGCCGTTGAGTCGGTTCTGACCCATAGCGACCCTGCATAGGGTTTCCCAAGAGCAGCTGATGAACTTGAACTGCCGGCCTTGTGGTTCA